CCGAATTCCTTGATACGGCGGTGTGTGGTGGCCCTTGATGCCTTGACCCCAGCCTCAGTCCATTCCTTGTGAAGTTCACCCACATTCTTGAATCGGTTTTGCTTGACAAGCCTCTCAAGGCTGCGGTTCTCTCGGTTGGTTGTGCATCTTGTTCTTCCGCACTTTTTCCTACCACTCAACTTTCTGTTAACATGCTTGGATACAGCTCTGTGTGAACAACCAGCTTCTTTGGCAATGAATGTTTGTGGCTTACCCTCCTTGTGAAGGGTGTCAATGATTGTCTTCTGGACAATTGATCAGATCAGCATTCTTCCCCATTATTGTGTAGCCTAGTGAACCAAACTGAGTGACCATTTTGAAGGCTCAGGACACCTGCAAAGGTGTTTTCAGTTGACTAGCTGAGTGGCATGTCACCATATTCTAATTTATTGAGATAATGAATTGGTGGGTTTTTGTTAAATGTGGGCCAAAATCATCACAATTAAAAGACCCAACGGCTTAAACTACTTCATTCTGTGTGTACTGAATGTATATAATACACGAGCTTCACTATTTGAGTTGAATTACTAAAATAAATGGACTTTTCCATGATATTCTAATTTATTGAGATGCACCTGTATATGACATTACAGTTCAGACTTGTGTCAGTGCAACTAGGCTGACGTCATAATGATAAAGTCTGAACCAACGCTTTGAGATGTCAAGGTCAAAGTGTTTATTTGTCATATGCACAGTTAGGAAACGTGTTTCCCTGTACAATGAAATTCTTACTTTGCCGTCCACATGAATGCCACAAAATACTAATGAAATATAAAGTAGATAAATAAGTAACACAAAATCTAAGGCACTTTAAGCAGCAAGTGCAGCAATATAATAAAAATATATAAGAATATAATAAGAGAATGTATGCTGCATGGGAGCAAAACCTTTTGACTCCCCAGTCCATATATCCCATACATATATATTGTTTACATCCTCTCTGAACTTGTTGTATGTTGCTATATAACCAACTGTAAAAGGCTTTTAAATTTGATAGGGAACAATACTGTCACAGCACCATCATGGAGGACAGTGTGTCAACACTGCCCCCTTGTGTCGACTATTCATGTAGATCTTGGAGGATAGAGGCAGCTTTCCTACTCACCCTGCGGTGGTAAATGCTCTGCAGAGAGGGCAGTGGAGTCCTGGTAATCTTCTCCGTAGTCTTTACCACTGTTTCGTGTAAGACGACAAACCTTTAGAGTCTTGAGCATCACAGCAGAAACACACAAACAGTTTGGTGACAAGTTTATTTTGTCATGTGATCGGTTTTCATCTCCTCAGTCACTAATTTGTGTCTGAACTTAATGTTCACTTCGCCTGATGACTGTGAAAAGGTGTTTCCTCACTCTAAACTGACTTATCATGGAAAAGATTGCACATTTTGAATTTTCCACAGTTTAGCTGAAATATTACAGCTTGCGTTTTTACCACATGCAGCTTGGTGCTGCTGCCTCCTGCAGATTTCATCACAGTTGATTCTGATGAAAAGTGTACACTAATCATGAATTTTACAGATAACCTTAGTATAAATTGTCAAATAATCAGACACTGACAGGGGTGTAACTACCAGGACTGTAGTTTAGTCAGGAAATTCAGTATAATCTGATTCCATAAGAACAGTAGGAGTCGTGTCATATTTTGTAACAAAACAGTGAAACCTCCTGCAGATGTTTCACATTAAAAGCTGACCAGAGGTGGGAGGGATTAAACTACCAGAAGGCTTGTAATGTGCAAGTTTAGAAGGAAGTGTTATTTTCAGTAGCAGTGGATCAACATGTTGTAGCGTCAGGTTATTTTTAACCCTTGTTGGAGTAAACCTCCCACAGAGAAAAATAAAAATATTTATTAATTTAAACAGTTTTTACTAAAGGAGGATTTTGGCGTATTACAACAGTTTACTGTAGTTTTATCCACCATTCAGTTATTTTAAGCTAAGTGCTGGACCGTGTTTCCTAATTGGCCGTTGTGCTTCCTCCAGTGGCAGGTATGAACCACCTGAGAGAGTACGGTATCGTCCATCGGGACATTAAACCAGGAAACATCATGAGGGTGATCGGTGAGGACGGGCGCTCCGTCTACAAACTGACAGACTTCGGAGCAGCCAGAGAGCTGGAGGACGACGAGCAGTTTGTGTCTCTGTACGGCACCGAGGAATACCTGGTGAGGACCAGTCGGCACCAGGGCCGCATGTCGGCGCCGATCTCCAGATTCACAAAGTATTGGAATCAGGATGACTCGTTAGGGTCACATAAATACCAGTGTTGCATCAAGTAGGTCAGATGACTCAAAGGTGAAGTTTCACCTTAACAGAGGAAAAGGTTTTTTTTATGGAATAAATTTATCCCAACCAGTCCACATGTGCTTCGTGGATCTGGAGAAGGCATTCGACCGTGTCCCTCGCAGCGCCCTGTGGGGGGTGCTCCGGGAGTACGGGGTCCGGGGCCCTTTGCTAAGGGCTACCCGGTCCCTGTACGATCGGAGCAGGAGCTTGGTTCGCATTGCCGATAGTAAGTCAGACTTTTTTCCAGTGCGTGTTGGACTCCGGCAGGGCTGCCCTTTGTCACCGGTTCTGTTCATTATTTTTATGGACAGAATTTCTAGGCGCAGCCAGGGGCCGGAGGGAGTCCGGTTTGGGGACCACAGGATTTCGTCTCTGCTTTTTGCAGATGACGTTGTCCTGTTGGCCCCATCAAACCAGGACCTCCAGCATGCACTGGGGCGGTTTGCAGCCGAGTGTGAAGCGGCTGGGATGAGAATCAGCACCTCCAAATCCGAGGCCATGGTTCTCAGCCGGAAAAGGGTGGCTTGTTCCCTTCAGGTTGGTGGAGAGTTCCTGCCTCAAGTGGAGGAGTTCAAGTATCTTGGGGTCTTGTGCACGAGTGAGGGAAGGATGGAACGGGAGATTGACAGACGGATCGGTGCAGCTTCTGCAGTAATGCGGTCGATGTACCGGTCCGTCGTGGTGAAGAAGGAGCTGAGCCATAAGGCGAAGCTCTCGATTTACTGGTCAATCTACGTTCCGACCCTCACCTAAGGTCATGAACTTTGGGTCATGACCGAAAGGGCAAGATCCCGGATACAGGCAGCCGAAATGAGCTT